GGCCCCGGTACAAAAAAGCAATAAGCCAAAATTAAAGCAGTGAGCCAAAATTAAAGCAATGAGTCCAAATTAAAATTAAAGCAATAGGGCCCTGCAGGCATGACCAAGGACACCGTGGCAGCCTGCATCCGGCGCCATCGCAAAGGCTTCATCAACAAGTACAAGCACAAGTATCCTGACCTTGTAGAGCCAGCGAGACCCATACGCTCGCACTCCGGAAGGAGGCACTGCATCTCAACCTTAGCCGGGGCGGAAGTCTCAGCTGATGCGTGCATGGCATTTGCCCAAATCCAGACATTTAGGGTGTTCAAAGTTTACGTAGACAAGAGTGCTGAATCTGTTGCACCAGTGCTGCGTCAGGCTGACCGCAAATTGCGGATCGGGCAAAAGTAACTCCGGAGCTAGTGAAGTCTCCGTCGCACGGCTGTTCTCCACGAATGTGTTTTTNNTTTTTCCTCTCACCCTTGCTGTTGGACGCTCACCCACGCAGGCTAATCAGAAAGAGAGATTGCACTGGCAGAAGCTGCTGTTGAGGTCTCCCACCGTGCTGGCATGTCTGAAAGTGGCACGATTTGTGCTGTTGAGAGGATCCGGCGGAGCAGCCTCTCGAGGAGATGCACCGACATTCCGTTGCCGAGCAACCTGCCGAGCTGAGACTGTGTGACTGCACCGCGGACAATTTCGGAAGAACGTATCCCCATGAGCCGTGCAGCTTCATAGACATTCATGCGACGCCCTCGATTGAGAATCCAATGAGACTCCGCCCCAGTGCGTGCACGTGTGAGGCAAGGCACCACTCCATCCATCCAGCGTGGGCCCCAGGTAGCGCTGGAATCAAGATCAAGCACGACATTGCTCTGCAAAGGATCCATCTGTAACGCTCTAGCCACTTGCTCGAAGGCTGTCTTGAAGTTGCGGCGGGCTGTAGTTTGGCTAGACGGGGGCAGGTCATAGACGGTTGCTGTTCCCTTTCTCTCATCCAGAAGGAGCTCCAAGTGAGCAGGTCTTACAGGCTTTGGCCACTCCCATGGAGCATCAGGTTGCACGAGAGATTTGTCTATTCCGACAATGAAGAGGCGGGATCTATTCTGAGGAATCCCATGATCCTTGCTGTTGAGCAATTGCACATGCACGGCATAGCGGCTGCCTCCAAGTTGGAGAAGCTCTTTAAGGAACCACTTCAGAGTCTCGCGATGATAGTGCCATAGGCCTGAGACGTTCTCCAGCAGAAATGTTTTAGGTAGCAATTGAGCCAGTGTGTGTATCACATACGCGATAAGAGAACCACGTGGATCCTCGTGGCCAGCATGAAGTCCAGCACTCGAGAATGTTGGACACGGGAACCCACAGCAATAGAAGTCGATGCTGCCTGCAGGGACATTCGGCAAGCGGCGGCTGCGCATGTCGGCGTTGTAGGCAGCCGGACTGCTGGGGAAGTGCGCCCCGAAGAAACGCTTTGCAACAGGGTCCACATCGCAAGACTGAAGGTGTATGAACTCCACGGACAAATAGCGCAACGCAAAGAGCGGGCATTCCATCCCGGAGCAGTCTGTCCAGACTGTGACACAACGAGGAGAGACTGGCAAAAATCGCGGGATCTTTGCGGCCTGCTGCATAGCCTCATCTGCAGCTGCCACTTTCCGCTTGCATGTCCTCGGAGGCATTGCTAAAAAAACGGCGCGAATTTGAACCTGTCAATGCCTTCCAGAGATACTTTGGGAGCATGGGGCATCATCACTTGCCGTGACACTCACCGCGACATTTGCACAATGAGGCCCTGCAATGAGCTGTCATTGTTTCTGTCCGGTTGCTTGTCGTATGACCTCTTCGGCCAGGTATGCGAACATGCACATTGACAACACTGCGAGCGCTGTGGCCTTGGACGGAACACAGGCTTCCGAGCACAGCTCAGATGCCCCCGAAATCTTTGCAACAGCATTGAAGACTCCTGACACAACCTTCTTCGTAGCTGCCCTCGGAAGCAGTCCAATCCAGCAAAAAAGAGTGGACGTGCGGCACACAGTGGATTCTGGGTTGCGCAGAGCTGCACACCAAAGGGTCGGTCTGATATGAACTGCAGCTGAAACTTAAGTCGGCAAACAGAGCCGGTTGATATGAACGGCGCCTGAAACTTAAGTCAGCAAAGACAGCAGCGTAGCGCGATGATGCAGTGATGCCTGCGCAATATCACACGAGGGATCCACCCTCAACTTCAACAACTCTGCCTACCCGGACGGGGGCGGGGCTTCGCCCTCGCCGCCCTGCTTGGCAGAATTCTGGACTTGGACAAGCAGCTCAGCCAACGACTGGGGCGGCTTCTTACCTCCCTCCGCACCTTCACCGTTGCCCTCTCCGCCGCCTGTGTTGCCGCCCTTGCCTTTGCCTCCCTTCCTGCCAGCCTTCTTGCCGCCGCCCTTGCTGGCGCCGTCGCCGCCTGTGTTGGCCCCGTCGTCGCCGCCTTTACTGGTGCCGTCGCCGCTCTTGGCTTTCTTCTTGGCTTTGCCAACCTTCTTTCCCTTCTCAATCTTAGACTCGTCGGCGTTTGCGTTCAGGAAGTCCAAATCTGCCACGGCCATGGGCTCGTACAAGCGCGTGCACTGCGGATCTCTCATCAAGCGGAACACGCGTTCCTGCAGCCTTTCTCTGAGGAGAGTTGCGTGGGCTTGGGTGTTGACGATGGCGAGGTACTTCTTCTTGAGCATGATGGCCGCCAAAGCTGCGTTGTCGTTCTGCGGGGTCATGTCCAGGATGCTGGCCGCCCAGTAGCTGTGGTAGATCTCCTCCCAGAACTTCGCTGTGTTTCCATGGAAGGACACGGGCTCAAGGTCCGTCGCAGCACGTTGGGCTTTGCCTTTCTCCGCCAGCTCGGGCGGCACTGACGAAGCACCGCCGGACTCACGCCGTGTGTCCCCCAGAAGTTCTCTTTTCTCCTGCACGGGCAGATTCCATTCCTCGTCCTTGTTGTTGGGGTCCTGCTGCAAGCTACTGCGCATTGGACTCTTTAGACCGAAACTGCGCAAACCCTACCAAGGACAGCTCTCAGACTCTCATTTTTTATCAGCAATGATCCTCCAGGGTCACGGGCCCCAAATGGTTGAACTTGTTCGTGCTGTTCTCCATGGTCAAGCGTTTGCGAGCACCGAGCTCCAGCGCGTTCTGACTGATCATCACCGAGTGTTCGACGACGTCGAGCTCGAGGCTATCGCAGCAGCGAACGCGACTGCGACGGAGCAGCGTGCTCTCCTCGTACGTGATATAGAGCAGCTTCCTTGATTTCCGGAGCTTGCGGTCCGGGAGATTGAAGCACTTCTCGAAGACGTTCAGATTGTCATGCTTGAACGCGTCGAAGAACATGAAGATGGAGCGCTCCTCGACGGTCAAGGCATCCAGGTCCTCAGCCTTCTGGAACTCCTTGCAGCGAGCTCGCAGCGCTGCCCCAACGACTGCTGCCATGTAACTCGGCCGGTTCTGGGGCACTCGGAGCGCAGGCTGAGTTTTGGATTCGCCCTCAGTCTTGCCATCGTAGATGTGAAGATGGTATTCACCCGTCTCAGGTTCCTTCTGGAAGGTCCGGCTCTGCCGCAACATCGTGTACATCTCATCCATGGAGGAGTTCGCCGGTCTGACGATGAGCTCCACGTAGGTATTGATCCTGTTGGACACCACTGCTTGCCACCGCTCATAGGCTTCCTGGGCTTCTTCCCCTGGAAAGAAGAGGTCCGCCTTTTCTTCCTTCTCTTCCTGGCCTGCAGCTGCGTCCGGCATAGGAGCATCTTCTGATTCCTTCACAGCCTCCACTGCAGGCGCAGCCCCGGCGTCGTGAATCGCTTGCACTGCTTTCTGCACAGTGCCATGGTTCAGGACATCGGCGGCGACACGGCCAAGCTTCAAGGACTGCCGAATCGATGTATCGTGGAACTTGTCGTAGATGGCAGCCTCCACAAGTTCCAAGTACTTCTCCTGGGAGATGTTCGGTGTCAAGGGGTGCCTACAGTAGGGCTGTCTGGACCCTATAAGCCCGAAACCTAAAGGGAGTACGGTGCCCAATAAAACAGGCTGGAATTGTGTGGATTCTCCTCTGCCGGGCTCAGACTGGAGCGAAACTCCGGGTGCGTCAGGTCTTCGCTGAACATCGCCGCCTCGTTGTCACGGTACCCAAAGGCTTTCCGAAAGCTACGGTGGTTTGCGAGGATCTTGCGAAACTCTGCACAGGCTTTCGGCGACAAGCTCACGGAGTTCAGAAACGTTGGGCCCAAGAACTCCTCCAGCAGCTCGAACTTGAAAGCATACAAGTCCGCCGGGCTGCTGCCGCTGCTGTCGAGTTTGCTTTTGCTGATATCCTCGTTGCGCAAGACACCCGAGCGTTTCGAATCAAGGACAGACTCAAACACCCACAGCAGTTTTTGGCCGCTGGCCTTCCCTCCGCACAATGTCAGATAATACATTTGAAGTACGCTGGAAAAGGGGGAGTCTGCGCCGAACAGGATCTCGGCCTCGCGCACCACCTGGACACATCCGCTAGCGGCGCTCAGCTTGTTCCACAGAGTCGTGCAGTTCTCAATGAAGCCTTTGGTAGGCTTCTCGGACTCGCGAGACCACGTGCAATCCTTGAAGAAGTTGTACAGCTTCTCTGCATTCACCTTGCCGCCGGCCTGTGTCAGTGACATAGCAGAGGAGCTCCACAAGAATGGGACCAAAGTGAGTGATCGAGTCAGTGAGT